TGGGAAAACATTGGCCTATAGTCGTAGGGTAGTTAAAGAATTGTAAATGACTTAAATCGGACCGATAAGTCGTATCCAAAGTTGCTTACCGTCATAGGTTTAGCTGAAAAGTGAAACTGAAGATTAGAATTGATACCTTTCTCACCTAAGCTCTGATGCGACGCTGATTCTATCGCTGAAAACGCTGATGGTTGTCGAGCTTAACATAACACAGGATGAGCTTGCAGTGGGTATTGCTCGTTCGGTGCGATGTAGTAACCTTATTCATTACTAGCCTGCATTGTTTTTTTGTTGTTGTTTTTTTTGTTCACTTCCGGATCAGTCGGTGTCTTGCGCATACACATTTCTGTCTAGGTTTCAATTCTAGTCTAAGCCAGCTAAAACACATATGAGGCGACTTTTTTTTAAAAAAGAATTTGGAGCCATTGTTTTAATAGCTAGCGCCCTGGTTGTTAGTATGCTGAAGCGGGCAAACTTTAATTTACACCGTGAACTAGTTAGTTCAGTTGCGCTATAACAATAAGTCCAACACGCGTCACTTTCATTGTTGTTTTGTTGCCAAGTAAATAATAATAATAATAATAATAATAATAATAATAATAATAATAATAATAAAACATTAATAGCTCACCAAGGGTTGCTGCATTAAGGATAACAGATTCACATCGAAGCACATAAACAACGTCCTACATGCACTCGTGTACTGTTCTTTGTTTTAGTGATGTTCCTAAAGTTTCATCATTGTTCTTTCGCGTTTCTTTAGAGATTACATCCGACACGATCGGCCGCCTGGAAATACGTGACAACAAATGCAGTATCAAGCACTGGATAAACAGGAACAGATTAAAAGAACATATCTGAAAGAGAGATGGCGGGCGGGCTATACTCGTGTAAAATACAGAACGTGAACCGACTCGAAGGATAATCAAAGTAGGGTCGCAAGTGAGAGAGGTCAAGCGAAAGTGCCGTGAAGTATAAATAGCAAAAAGCGACCAACGACAACTTCGTAATAAGCGTCCTCCGACACCTAACACAGAAAATGCAATGAGGAATGCGACAATAAAATACCATCGGGAAAATGCATTT